CCTCTCCCATTCTCTCCTTAATATATAAGGTGCCATTTCTTTAAGTAGTTTTCGGGTCTCGTTCAGTTTTCAGGTAATTTGGTTCTGGGTTGAAGTCCAACGCGAGAACCTCACGGTTGGTTTTGAAAAACTGGTTTAAAGAAATGGCAACTTATAGTAAATATAGGTATGAACAGGTATGAAAACGGAAAGATTTACAAAATAACTGACATTGGATACAACAAAGCCTATGTAGGGAGCACTTGCGAAAGTTTGAGTAAAAGAATTGAGAGGCATAGAGCAAAATACAACAACTATAAGACAGGAAAGACAAACAGCAAGATTTCAGTGTTTGATATCTTTGATGAGTTCGGTATTGAAAATTGTAAGATTGAATTGATTGAGAACTACCCGTGTAATTGTAAGGAAGAACTATTGAGACGAGAAGGACACTACATCAAAAACACTGATTGTGTCAATAAGGTCGTTCCGCATAGGACGGAAGAAGAGAGAAAAGAGGCGTCGCGGGAATACTACTACAAACATAGAGACAAAATATTAGCGAAACACCTTGAAAAGATTGAGTGTCCTTTTTGTAAGCGTGTAATGTCTCAATATTATGTTCCGATACATCAAGGGTCGAAAAATTGTGTCAAACAAACAGGAATAAGTAGCGAATAAAACGTTCTCAACAACATCATTTGTTATTGAGAAGGTTTGAGTTCAACAGTTCATCAATGACATCTGCTGTTAATACAAATGTTGGTTTGACGATGTTTTGATACATTGGATTTGGACGAAATGGTGCGTCCGCAGTCGGGACACTTGAAGGGTGTTGAGAGTTTCTTTTGATAGTATTTTGAGAAGTATTCGGGGTCTAATGGTTTGCTGTCATAAGTTCCATCGGGTTTCCATCTGGTGGATGCTTGGATTGGGGGTTCTTGGGCTGTTTCTGGATTGAGTGCTTCAACCATTTGGTCAAAGATGTCCTCATCCATTTCTTGCTTCTTTCCGTCAACTACTAAATAGCAGGGCATATCAAATCTTAATTACATAAGGCGACTTGTCTTTAAGTATCTTTGGGGTGTTCTGTGTTCGCAAATGAGGCCAACCCGTTGGATGCTCCCAACGTCAAGTGCTGGAGACTGCTTGGAAATGTCATGCCAGCAAATATTTGGTTGGATTTTCCTCGAAACAATCAGGTTTTGAAGGCTGTTTGAATAGTTCGCTGCTTCAAGGCTTTGATAGAACCCGTTTCCAAAATCTTGCATTATGACAAATGCTGGGATTGACCTTCTAATAGATGGTGTCCCGGATGTCTTCACAACCTTGGCGCGGACGCATTCGGCAAGTGGAAGAGGGCAATTGGATGCAATTGGATACAGTAAAGCAGTGAAAAGTGGTTGATATCATCACCAAACTTCTGGGCCTGAAGAATGCTACATTTGAGAGTGCCAATCCAACAACTGCGAAACAAACCAATCTTCAATCTCTGCCATTTCATTTCACTTTTGCTCATCCAGTCTTGGAACACTGTGCAGTCTGTCCCACCGGTGCATTGTGCAGCGCAGATAGAATGCATCCCGGATTGAAGGGTAGGTGCAACCCCAATAAAAATCATCACCTTTCTGTGTTTTGCCAGTCTGGTTGGACGCAATGCGGATTGCACCATCCATGAATCACGAATGGCACCTTCAGTGCATAACGGATTGCACCCGACCTGCAATCCAAAAGTCCCACTGGTCCTACAAGGAACAAAGCACTCTCATTCACACGCCACTGCCACTTCCGCCTTCAGACCTTCTTCAAAAGGTCATGCACTGTGCGGGACACTGCGCAGTAGCGTCGCTCCTCTGCCCGCCCATCCACATAGATGCAATGAGCGCTTCGGTTCCGCACCGCTCTCGCCACGTCCGCAGGCGTGAAGTGCTTCATGAACCTCTCAACATCAACACACTGCTCGAAGGAGCTATGCGCCACGGCCTTGGCCAAGGTGCATGCCATTCTCACCTTTTCTGGGCCAAAGCCACCTTGGTTGTCAATGCCCAAGAACTTCTGGACCTGACTTCTTTGCACCACAAGCCGTTTGGACTTTGCTTCTTCCCATGATGTCTCTTTGGCCTTTTCCGCCACGTCCTGCAGGAGATGTGGGCAAGTTTCAAGGTTTCACGGTTCGTTGATGTTTCGGGTTGTTGTCCCATGGTTTCATGACCCTTGTCCTCCATTACACCGATGTTGCCACCTGTGAGTTGAATCATGTCGCTCTTGTGCGTGGAGGCCTCTTCACCGCCATGATGACGTAGGAATTCCTCAACCTGACAAGGAGACGTCCATCTGCAAACATCCCAACCCATGCCAGAAGTAGCACCAACAAAAAGCACTAAAGTGATTGAAGGTGACTGAACAATTACCACATGAACTGAAGCTCTTCATTATGGCCTCCTTCTGCGAGAACTCTTCACTCGTCAGTGGTGGAACGAAGAATCGGCGCTCACGACCGTCTGCGTCAAAAGCCATGGCTGACGCTGCAGAACTGACCATCACCAGCACTTTGGCAACCTCGTCATCAAAGCCCCATGACTTCGCAAAGGCGGAGACGCTGCTCATCACAGATGGCTCGAAGACACCACGAGGAACTTCAAGGATGATGATGGGTTTTCGTCCCATTCTTGTCTTGGCACCTCTCAAACCACGCACCACCTCCTCTTCATGGAGCACTGCCAACGCGCTCATCACCTTTTCCGTGGCCAAGTGATTGTTCTGCGTGAGCTTGATGTGGAGCACTCCATTGTTCCACTGTTTCTCCTGCAACACTTCCCAAAGGATGGTGCTCTTGCCAACTTCATGGTTCCCCCAGATGAGGATTGGGCGGGGGTCGTCCAAGTCCAACAACTGGTGCATTTCGTCCTGCCACAGTGCATAGTGAGCATAGTGCATCAAATTCAAAATGTCAGTATGACATGAAATAACACCTATCTCAAGAACAAATCCCTTCTGTCAAGAAACGCAGGGACAAACACAACAAAAAAAAAGGTGGTGCTTGGACGCCTTGATTATCTTCCGTTCAATCTTGACACGTGGCTCGCGTGCTTTGAAAGAGGCATTCACAATGATATTCTTCACTCGCTCTTGTTCTTGACGATGCCGTTCTTGTTCTTGACGATGCCGCCACATATCCCATCCAAAGGTCACGATGGCCAACGAGCCACCACCACCAACCAACCACTTTCCAATCTGCTGTTTCGTGGTCGGCTCCTTCTCTGGAGCGTTGTTTGAGAAGCAACGGTGGTTTCGTCGGCCTGACATGAGAAGCCGAAAACCACAACATCGGGCAATGAGGCAACGCGACATACCCATGGCGGAAATCTCCAGAACTGGGACTGTGCTGGAGCTCAAGCACTTTACGATTTCTTGATGCGTTGACTTGTTCATAGTGCAACACATGCCGCAAGTAGAACTCATCTTATCTTGTGAGCATTTGTGAGCCTGTCTGCTGCGGGAGAAAGCAATCAACATCTCTGGGTGTAGTGTAATGCCACAATGTGTACATAGAGTGTACATAGTGCCTCAAGAAACGCAATATGTCCTCAAAAGTGATGCTTCCATGCAAACGAAACAGCGCGCACATCTCATCTGGGCGCCCCCGACGAAATCCAGAAAGTCCATGAAGAAGTCCGCAAAAAATGAGGCGAAGCGAAAGACGTTCAAATCAAAACACAACCAAGAAAAAACGCCACCAAAAAAGACGAGAATGAGAGAATAAAAAATGAAAGATGTTGAAAGACATGGAACCTTTTGAAAGATATCAAGTTGAATGTTCTGTCTTGAAACTGATGATAAGGAAACACAATAAAATCATACCCAAAAAAAGACAAGACATACCTTGACAATAAAAAACGACAACCACAAGTACACTATCCACAGTATCTCCCTCATCTGAACCAAAACACAAACCCCAACAGCCTAAACAAATCCTACCCTCATCTGAACCAAACATTGACACATCACTTTAGCATCAAAATGACCCCCAAAACCCCACCTGAAAAATCATCAAAGGCGAAGATGAAACATTGAACCCCAACACAAAATCATAACAAGCAACATACAAACACATACGCCCTGAAACCCCCATTTTCCATTTTTTTCCCAGCTATAAAGCCCATTACAACTATGAAACGTGATGGCCAACTTAGAAAATGCCAACAAGGAGATAGAGCCACAGCAAGACTGGGGATTTTAGGGAGAATTTAAAATGGCAAACCAGCAACAAAATTCGGAGTTGACCAACAAAAACAAGCGAATGCAACTGGGGAAAAAAACAATTGGAATCATGAGGATTGTGGACTGGACCAACAGAATTGGGTATAGATTGGGTAGAGAACATTTTAAACATTGGGGGATTTGAGCAAAGATTTTTAGGACTGGCTGGGATGATCATGAAAAGGTTCTAATCAATGCAAATAACTTTTACAGGCTTGGACGTCTGCATGTGTATGTGAATACATAGTATACATATATATATATGTACAGTATGTGTATACCTGGACCTTAAGAAGTACCTGAAATTGTGTGTAATTCAAATTTGCAACTTAAAATTCGCTGTTGCCAAAACGTACTCTTTTTCGAAAAACGAACCAAAATTCCTAAAATGCACTTTTTTGGATGCTTAGGCGAGCTCCACTTACAAAACGCGCAGAATTTGGAATGCAAGAAGCGCACAAAAATATGCAAAATGCCTACAAACGCCTGCAAAATGTGCACGAATCCAGCGTGCAATACACCCGTTGGTCCCAAAAGACATCTCTATTTGGGCAATGAGGTCCCCAGATTAAATCCCAAAGCTATTTACCCTCTGGTAAACATACAAAAAGCTATTGAAAATGGCCATAGAAATAGTGGATTTTCCCATTAAAACCAGTGATTTTCCAGTTCGCTATGTAAACGTTTACCAGAGGGTCCGATTAAATTAGGTGGTACATGGTGGTACCATTTTTGTAGCTCTCAGGCTCTAAGGGCGCGACGTGTGATCGCGATCGCGACCAATGCTCAATGGCACCATGAGGCCGCACAACCTGCGGGCTGGACACCATGGACCTGGCTACCAATGAACTCAAATCATACCCTATCAACCACCGGGATGATGATACCTTGAATAAATTATATATATATATGTGATTGGTTATCTTATGTTATATTTAGGTCGCAACCCATAAAATATCCCAGTAATTCCTAGTATATCCCAGTGATGTCTGAGGTTACAACTCAATTACCGACCATCAATGAGGCAAACCCAGACCAAATCATCCGCAATTGGGGGTAAGTATTGGATATAGCTCTGTTTTGGCTTTGTGGCTTCCACATTACACAAAATGAATCCTGCTTACCATAATTTTCAATTAATTTTCCCCATTACGCCATGTTCAGGCATAATCCAATCCTGGACAAAGGGATTTTGTTTATATTGATTATCCAAATTATCATGCCACTAGTCCCCGACCAATTGTGCTTCTCATTTTGGAATCCTTCTCAGACTACATAGTTGATGACTAAATCCCAATTTGTCGCTGGTTCAATTCTCATTTCTTGCTGGTAGATCTCCCACTACTGCTGGTTCTTGATAATAACAACAGCACCTCACAATCATGATCAATGTTCTTGTTTTGGGACAAATGGAGGGGCCGGGTTTGTATGCTGGGTTTTGAAACATGGTGGTGACCCATCTATCACTCAACCAACTAGTGGGGAAAAAAAGGACATTAATCGTAATCTCGACTCGCAAATGATAACACGCAATCACAACAATGATCATCATCAACATCACTATCATCATAAAAGATCACATAAGTAATCATTCTAATTGGATATAATTTGATTTTAGTGCCCTTATCAAAAGTAGAACCTAATCATGGCACCATTATATTGTACAATAATATAATATATTGTATTTTACCAGGTCAACCAAATATGGGGTGAAATACAACACTATCCGCTAAGCAGCTGATACTTTTGAACCAACGCTACAGAGTAGATCGATGATATATACACTACATGGTTTTACTGCAGGAGTTTTTACACCCCCCTCGGGCGAGCAGGGACGACTGCGGAGAACGAATAACCCAGAAGAGCATACCCTCGCGGGTAGCCAAATTTCTTTAGTTGGTTTTGATCATTTTTATGCAGTCTTTCAAAGGTCCCTTTAAAAAGCTCAAGCCCGTAAAACCCAGCGCAGCTTTGCAAGGAAGGCACATTACCATGCCGCATCTTGCGCTATGCTACAAAAGAAAATCATCGTCTACCTGCGGTTCCAATAGATCCACCGGCCGCCGGCCTCGTCACGGTAATACCAAGCCCCACGCCAGAAACTCCATTCTCGGCGTGCACCATAGTGATCACGATTCCAACTCCAGGAGGCATCCGGGCGACCGGAGCTTGCAGCCTTTGATGTGACTCCTGTGCTTGCTGCTTTTGCAGTGGGCGGTGTCTCAGGCTCCAAGAATGGTCGCGCTCCTGCTTTGGATGTTGGTGGTTCGGGTGCAAGAAATGGTGCATTGTTGGGGTCAACTGGGGCATCAGCGTGCGAGGCATCTGCGCGAGCAGAGCTTGAGGCGGCAGTGTCATCATGTGTAGTGACGGATGCATCAGCTTCGGCTTTGCGTTTTCGCTCAGTGGTGGGCGCGACCGTGGGGTCGGCCTTATGACCTCCAGGACCTCCAGCCTTTGCAGCGGCGCTCTGCTTCTCTTTGCGTTCAAGGTTTCCCCGAACCAATGGAAGATTTTCCTCATACACCTTTTCGAGGAATTCAAGAGTGCCATCAAAAGGAACTTGGACAGTGCCCTTCCAGGTCAAAAGGCCACGGAATGCGCCACGACGACCGATGTAGCTGACATATTCATCCTCTGTAAAAATGTGGCGGCCGAACATGAATCCCCAGACCTTCTTCCATGTTTTGCGGAACTCAACTGGGAAACCATCAACACCTCGAGGCTGGGACATGAAAATCAACTTAGATAAGCAGTTTTCATTTTGGGCATTGGCGGCGACGCCAGCCGAGATCTGAGCTTTGGTCCTTGGGGGATCGGGGAGGTTGCCATATGCGAACATGTCGTCGAATATGCAGTCCTGCAGGTCCTTCCCCTCACCGTGGATGCGGTCGCAAAAAGTGACGTCGCTGGAGTATCTGTCTTCCACGTCCTCGTAGCCCAGCGCTTTTGCACGTCGATGCCTGTCGCGGCAGTCTTTGAGGACTGCTGATTCCACGGATGTGATTCCCCTGGGGCCCAGTTCCCGGCGAAGCAGATTGGCTTGCTCATCCGTCAAGGCTGTCAGCAAGCTTCCGCTCATTTTCCCAAACATTCCGAACCCGGCGAGACTTTGCATTCGCCGTTCAAGGATGCGGGTCCTCCTGTTGGGTTTGTCGGCCTCTTTTGTATCGCCACTTTCGTCCACTGGGAGTGGCTCATATCCACATGTGGTGCATGTCACTTGGCCACTGACGTACTCAACCTGGCAGAGGGGGCAGGAGCCCATGAAAGGTTCGCAGTACTTGGGTGCAATGTAAACACGGCGCGTCCTTGCGGGCGGCTGGTCAACTTGCATTGGGGCAGTGGCTGCATCATCATCAGTGGACTTGGCATCGGGTCGCCCCGTGCTGGTGTCATCCATTGGGTCATCATTTGCATCATCTCGGGCAGTCAGGGTGACCGCTTTGGATTTCGGTGCTGAGGCTGATTCCGCGCCTGTCCATGAGCTGGGCTCGAGATTGCTCTCGGCGCGGGACCAAAGCACCTGTCCTTCTTCTGAGATGCTGACCAGAAACTGCGGTGGAATGCGTTCTGAACACAAAATACCATCCATTTCTGTGCGACTAAAGATGACACCAGCTTCAACTGCTTGCCGCATTGCGATTTTGACTTCGACTGGACATTTTGCTCTTAATCCAGATCGATACCCCTGTGTGCCGATACAGTGTTCTGCCATGTAGATATGAGCACGGCCACTGTTGACTGTGTCACCGCCGCCTGGGATCAGGCCGTTCTGTGCGATGCTCTTCCAGCTGCTTCTCATCGTGCGATGGAAGACAACCTCAGGGACCTCAGTCATGGCACACAAGGGCACGCCAGTGAAGGCGGCTTTTCGCTCGGGGGATACTTGGTTTGAGCAATACACCATGGTTGAATTGGCATAAAGACCCCCTGCGGTTTTCAAGGCAGCTTCGGAGTGACCCTGAATTGCACGGATTTTCACAGGATAATACGGCATGCCTAGGCCATTGTCGACAGGAAAATGGGAGATCTTTGCACACAAGAATTGGAACCTACTCTTGCCATGCTTGTCGATCTTCATTGCGGTGCCAAACAGGTTTGCGACAGTGATGAAAACATCTGGGGGCACTTCCTTGCGGAAGGCTTTGGCAAAATCCTCCAAGTCAATCCAAAGGTCTTTGTCCATTGGCACCTTGGCACAGGATCCATGCCCCCTGCAAACTTTGTTGACACGAGTTGCAAAATCAGAAAATTTCTTGTCGACACGAGTCTGGCCAGCAATGGTCTCAACGTCGGATGCCGATATCAGCTCCAGCTCATACGCCGTACCTTCAAAGAGGATACCGGGCACATCGTCCCCGTCTGCATTGGTCACCATTGTATATTGGTATTCAGGCAAATGCTCTTCCATCCAATATGCTTTCACGTGGCCGGATGCATGTCCCTCTAAGCGCGCAGTTGCCTGCGGCTGGTACTGGCTGGATGTGGCTCTCTTGTCATCTGCGGGCTCATCCAATGGTACTGGCGCTGCTTTCGGCCGCGACTTCAACATGACCTCAGCCGTTTGGACCAGGATTGTTGCTCTGCTGGATGCAGCGGGCTCGCCGTCGCCGGCGGCCTTTGGAGGGTCATCTTTGGGAGGCTCAGCAAAAGTGCCCGAAGGCATCGTCTTGGTGTCGATGTAGTCCTCAGTGTCAGGTTGTTGAGCTTCGACGTCCTCCTTGGTGAATGACCTGCCCGTCGGCGTGATGTGTCTTCGGGACTCTCCAAAAAGCAACTTGGTGATGTTTGCACATGTCTCCTGATAGGATCTTGGCAGCTCGTCCAGGACGGCGCTCATGTTCCTCCGCAAATCATCCCATGTCTCCTGGCCACACTGAGTAAGCTCCAAACCAATTCGGCCAACCCGCCATCCGCAATCAATTGCGAAAAGGGTAGCTGTCCAATAGGCAGCAAGACGCGTGCGATTTTCTTCAGAGTTGGCGAAATGCCACTGGTCTCTGAATTCCATTGCATCGGCGTACCCCTTTGCTCTCAGCCACGGATACTTCGGATTGGCAAGCCCTTGCAGGCTGCTGGTTAGAGCTTTAAATCGGGGCTCCAAAACATCAAAGAACTGGTCAAAGATAGGATGGATGCCATAATCTGCGCTCCAAGGCGCGGTCGTGAGACCGGCCGACTGCAAATCCAACTCCCGGGCCTTGTTGACAAACCATGTCAAGTGGCGCTCACAATCATCCAGGATCGTGGGCCAGTGCCCGTTGGGGCCGTCGTACGGCCAATTTGGATTTTGGGCAATCCCATCCTCTCCTACCAATTCATTTCCGAACCAGGACAAATGCAGGTTGATGCGTGCATCAGGATAGCGCTCGCGGGCGTCCGCGGCCAATTCAATCCCACGCTTGACCAGCTTCTGCAGAGTCTTGCCCCAAAGCATCTCATGGATGAACTCAGTCACATACTTAGGCTTGCGCTGCCGGTAATGCTCGGACAGGTCAAACTTCTTAAGTGTTTTCCTACGCCCTGTGATCAATGCACATGACGAGTCAGAGACTAAGATCCAGATTACATCATTGACGGGCATCTCTGGCAACATGATCTTTTCAATGTGGGACTCCTTTGGCAAAAAGCAGAAGCTAAGGTATTCTGCAAGCGGATCCTCTCGACCGTAGAACCTCAGGGCCGAGGCCGGCGTCCATTCGGTCATCAGTCCATCCACGAGGTCCTGAGCAGCCTGATTCTCACCTTCATTGCGCATGGCCAATGCAAACAAAATGCGATTGTGAAGGAGCAACCATGCTTCTTTGTT